AAAGTAACAATGACATGTATTATTTAGTTTGTATTTTAAAACATAGTGTTCAAAATTTATTTTTTAGAAGAGTTTTAAAAAATTATATTTTTGTATTTTTTATGTCATATAACTTGTTTGATTATATAATTCCAAAAACAGTTAGAACCATATAAATGTGGTGGTGATGATATTTTCTAAATTTTGAAAAATTGTTTTAAAAAACACACAAATTTACTCATTTTTTTCTTCAGTTTTTAAACAATGAAAACAAAAAAAAAGTTAAATAACTTTACTTTCAAAAACCAAAAAAAAAAAACAATTTTTGAAATTAAAATCAAGCAAGTCCTATATTTGAAAGAGATAATAGGATGTGAGTACCTTTTTTAAAACTTATTTGGATTTAAGTGTCACATCCAAACTTATCCTCCTTTAAATCCTTTTTTTTATCAAATAGTTGTCAATAAGTACATATTTTCAAATTTTTTCTAAAATGTATTTCATAATTACCCCTATCATAAATATTGCATACCTAATTGACAACTTTTATATTTTCAATATCTAAATATTAGAATGTGAGACTTTTAATTTTTTTTTTAATATTTGTGTATTATTTGAATTTTAAAATTTATAAATATACTAGTCATTACCCGTGCCTGGAGGTACTATGTTACTTATAAAATTTTAAAACACAAAGATAGGATGTTTGAATAATTTCAATACATAGCGATTAGATTGGTTTTGAACATTTTTTGTTGTTGCAATTGGTATCTTATTTTTTTTTGTATTGGTCACTTATTTTTTTTTAATTACTAATTAACTTGGGCTTTGAATTTTTTTTAATTTTCTGAGAACTATAGGTTTTCATATAGTAGTAATTTATTTTTTGTATGAATAACAACTTAAATGATTTTATTTATAGATTATAAAAAAAATTAAACTTCATTTATTGAAAGTAAAAAGTAAACATCAACCATCGGTACTAAGATGCATGATAAGAAGATCTACTTACAGTGTACTCTATGTATGGATCAGTTTGTAATAAGAAGGATGAAAAATTATGTAGTAAGTATATAATAGTTTTTAATAAAATATTATACCAAAGATTTTTAAAAAATCGATATACTAAATAACTTACATGTCTAAAAATGATGACATTGTCCATCTGAGTACTGATGTTTGTGTTACAGTAACGGTGTATATGCAGTTATTAGGGTCAAATGTTAAACTGTCAAACTTTGAAAAAGAAGCGTTAAACTTAGAGATATTATGTATTTTATGTGTGTTTAATAGAAATATTTTTAATTTTATGCAAAATTTTATCGTAAAATTAGAAATTAAACAAAATCAACCTAAATCAAGGTACAAACAATACACTTTTAATATATAACATTTAGATTATTTAATTTAAAATGAATTCAATCTAAGTTGTTATTGTGTTTTTTCAAATTTAAGATAGAGACGTATGAGAGATAGAAGTGTTGAGTATTACAAGAAAATGCTTATTCATAGGTGGGAAAAGAAATTCAGAACTAACTGTAGACCGTTAGATCAAAATTTTTGAGATGATCTGAACCGTCTTTTATGTTGGGATTACGTTTATCTTGTATCTCTCATTGGTAACACTATTTGCATGGTAATTTTTTGAATCCCTCTTTATGTGCAACTCTTTGATTGAGCAAATATATATTGTCATCATTTATGGTCAATCTATTGTTGTCACTTTTTACTGACACTATTTGACACTATTAAGGGGGACATTACATAATGTCATTGATTGAACTCTCATTGTCAATATCTCATGTCTCTCTTTGGTGACACTGTTTGCATGACAATTTTTTGAGTCTCTCTTTATGTGCAACTCTTTGAATGGTCAAATATATATTATCATCATTTAGGGTCAATTTATTGTTGTCACTCTTTATTAACACTACTTGGGCATTATCAAGAGGGCATTACATAATATCATTGATTAAACCCCATTGTCATTATCTCGTATCTCTTTTTAGTGACACTATTTGCATGACAATTTTTCGAGTTCCTCTTTAAGTGCAACTCTTAAGTGGACAAATATATATTGTAATCATTTAGGGTCAATCTATTGTTGTCACTCTTTATTGACACTACTTGGGCACTATCAAGAGAGTATATATGATGTCATTAATTGGACCCCCATTGTCATTATCTCATGTCTCTCTTTGGTGACACTGTTTGTATTACAATTTTTCGAGTCTCTCTTTAGATATAACTCTTTGAGTTGACAAATATATATTGTCATCATTTATGATCAATATATTGTTGTCACTCTTTACAAACACTACTCGAACATTATCAAAGAGGCATTACATGATATCGTTGATTGGACCTCCATTATCATTATCTCGTGTCTTTCTTTGGTAACATTGTTTACATGATAATTTTTGAGTCCCTTTTTAAGTATAACTCTTTGAGTGGGCAAATATATATGTATATATATATGTCTGTATGTAAAATTTCAAAATTCAAATAATACACAAATATCAAAAAAAAATTTGAAATTCTCATATTCTAATCTTGAAAATTTCATATTCAATTAAGTATGCACTATTTATGATAGAAATAAAAAAACATTTATGATTTTTTTTAGTAGATATACTCGTATTTTAATAATTTTAAAAAATATATTTTTATCCTATTAAATTTTTAAGAAGACATTGGCCTCCCAAAGTCCTTATATTTGAAAATATTTTGTGTGGGGCCCAAAACAGAGACACGGCATTAAAATCAGTGTGTTGAGTGACAGTTACATGTGTCCGTAAAGTTAACATGCAACAACACCACCGTATTCGCAGGTGTCTCGGCGTCTATTTCTATGTTGATTCAGTCGGCGCGCCGTTGCTACTTACTATTCATTCATTAATCTCCTCAAAATATCACGGCTGCTTCACGATATTTTGTTGCTTTTTCCTTCCAATGTTTCTTTCCCCAAAATACCCCCACAAAACCATAGATTATAATTCATTTACTATATATATCTTTATGATATTTTTGCAAATTCTGATTTGTCAATTATACAAATTAGATAATTTTTTCCATTATTAATTCTAATTTATAGTTAGACCAATATGTAAATTGCTCTACAATTTACACCAACTACAATGAATTAAAAGGAAAATGATATTATCCTACGTCATTTTTTAATTTTGGCATAATTTTTTTTTTGTACACAATTGTATCTCCAATTTATTGATGGGAAAATAATTTTTTTTAAGGATGGTGGCCTAGTATAATCATATTTGTATTGCTAGCTATTAATTAAAGGAAAATTGAAGAACCTTTTCTTTGAAATATTTTTACAAAAAAAAATTATTTTATGGAACTTTTTTATGAGCTAATTAAGTGTTTAAGGCATCGAATATTGTATGTACATCATAGAAATGATGAGTAAATAAGTTTTAAAGTGCTACAAGTGCGAAGATTTGGCAATGCCCGGTGCATCGCTTGGCCGTGTGAAAGGAAAAAAAAAAAAAAAAGAGCATTGATTCACCTATAAATACTAGACAAATCTCTATTTCAGCCACGCGTCGCAAACAACTTCACGTGCATAAAATGTATGTGTTCTGTCGGAAATATAATTAGGAGCATATTTTGGTTTACAAAAGAGGAAATGTCATCGAATTAAATTCTCTTAAATTCCAAAATTATTGATCTAATAGGCGACATGTCATTTTCAAAATAATGTATGTAACGATAAAATGTGCTTTCTATTCCCGTTTAAATTCTTATCAATTACCTAAATTGCCCTTCAAAGAATATCATGTGAAGGTATTGATCCATATTTGTTTAAACCACCTAAACTAATAGATTTGCAGGTAAATTGGAAACTACTTTTTCTAACCTACTGATTTTGCAAAAAAATATATTCTAATCAATCAGAAATGAACCTTATCTTAGTTTCAACTAGCAGAATATTATTCTTTTTCTTTTTCTTTTTCTTTTTTTGAAGGAATTTTTTTTTGGGGGGGTGTAATTAAAAAGGTGAAGCACTTGGCAATTTAATTATTTATCTTGTAAAAGTGGACTCCATATGAGAACTCTTGATAAAAGAATAAGCATTTAGGAAAACTAACTGATAATTCTCTTTCTTTTGCACACATTTTTCAATGATTATAATGAATTAAGTTCTCAAATTATATTCAAATAATATTTTTTTTAATATTGTTAAATTTGTTTCTATAAAACATTCCCTTCTTTTCCTTATTCTTGTATCCTCTTATGGTACGGAAAAAAAATTTGAAACCATACCAAAATTTATTATTTTTTAAAGTCGAATTACATTTTTTAAAAGTGGCGTCACAATTATTTAAGATAACTTTATGATCGATCATTAAACGTTATGATTAATCATGAATACCCATCGTTACTTGTGATTTTATTTTTAAAAAGCGTAACTTAATTTCCAAAAATAATAATTTTATCTTTAGAAGTTGTAACTTACATCACTTTTTCAACTCTAACTTCTAACTAAAAAGAATATAATTTAATTTCAAAAAATTATAAATTTTAGTATGGTATCGATTTACCTTAGTCCTTCTCATTTTGTTTTTGGTTCAACGGTTCGATCAGAAATAAGTTATTCACGTTAGAATTAAAATCTTCAAGAAAAATAAATTTCTAATAATCTAATCTTAAAAAATTATTAAAATTTTTATTCAAAATATCTGAATTTATAATTTATCTCTATTATTAGAGTTGCGGTTTGGTTAGTCCTCCGCATCACCTTACTGGAAGCTTTATAAGCTCCGCCGAAAAAGATAAGTAAAAGAATAAAAGGTCATTTTCGTAAATGAAGCTCATTTCTGAGCAATATGGCCGTTTTGGAAAGTAGTACAAACAAGGAAAATGACAAACAGTACTTCTCACGCACCTCATCTCCTCGGAGGAGGAGCTTTTATAAGTCTACCATGAGTCCCATCGCATCGTCTCTCTCTCTCTCTCTCTCTCTCTCTCTCATCATATCATAAGTTTTACGGTTAAAAAAAATGGAGTCGTTAGATCTTTCTCTCGCCATTTCTCCAAGACCCATTGTCAAACGAAAACAGACTGAGTTTACTAATGGGGAAAAGCAGCAATCTGAGAATGTTTCCATTGAGTTTGGCACCAATTCTGTCTCCTCATTCCCTGATGTTGCTTCATTGAAGTCCGGAAAATCTATCTTAAAGACCAAGAGGCATTCAGAAATTGGTTACAAGCTTGATCACCATCATGGCGAGCCGATGAATCCGCTGATAACTGAGGTAAATGTGGCCTCATCAGCTGCAAGGAGAGCCACCTGCCGGAAGCCATTAACGCACTGGACTGAGGAAGAACATGAGTTTGTTTCCATAGCTTTTACTCTTTTTATCTTACACCCCACCAAAAAAAAAAATTTAACCTTGCAATCACTAACAAATTGTATCTTAACATTGGAGACGGTCACGGAATAAATACATTATTTGAAAATAATTGTTTCAAATTTTGATTTCAGGTTATTTTTGTTGTACATGCATCATTTAATGAATTTTTTTGCCTATTTTTTCCTTTTTTTCGTGTCATTTTCCAGTTACTAAAAAACTTTTATTTCCACAAAAAAAAAAAAAGATATGTAACATTTATATTTTATGTCAAGGAAGTGTTTTGTTGCATTCAACAAACTGGATCATGTCTTTTGCTAAAAAATATTAGCTCATTTATCCCCCAAAAAACAAAAAATTCAATGCATATTTGCTATATATTTGAAAGTTTTGGAATATACATGAATGAAGACAATGACACAAAGGGCAAAGTTAAACAATCATGGGCTGAGTAAGGTGTGCATAATGAGATGGTGGTGACACCACATTATTCAAATGTGACACGTGAAATTTTGCATATAGGTCACTTTTGCAAAAATTATTTAAATTTATTTTTTTATTTTTTTAATTCAACGGTAAAAAATGTTTAGGTCAAGTTACGCGAACCTCAACTGTTTTCCTCTCCGGGTCGATTAAAGGTATGTCATTTACGTCAAGATTAGGGTTTTTATAATAAATAAATTTTATGACCTGATCTTAAAAAATTATCAAAATTCAAACATAATTAAACGGTTACACTCAATATTTACTCCTCTTTCTCGTGGTTTTTAGCAGAGTTACTTTTAACTTAATTTTGGCATTGGGTGGCACAGGTTATTCTTAATGGGGATAGAAATGTATGGAAGGGGGCAGTGGAAGAAGATTTCAGAGACTTATTTACTCACCAGAACCCCAAGCCAAATCTCAAGCCATGCCCAAAGTCATTTCAAAAGAAACCGGAAAAAGAACCTGCGCACCATCAACTTTCTGGAGGTTGATAATTGCACCACCTCCCAGACCAGTAAACCAAACAAGTCTTCAACATCAACCGTCGACGAATCCGACCGATCCATCGTGAACCCGGTGGCACGGCCAACCTTGAACTTGTTCCCGGTGGTGGCAGCGACTTCGTCGGTTAATGACAAGGTTTTCCCACCTTGTAGCATGTCCATGGGGTTGAGAAGTCACCCTTTTGATGGACAGATAGGGTTGAATTGATGTTGGAGGAGAAGCGAAGAAGAAGATGAAGAAGAAGGAGATGATCTCATAGAAATGTAAGTATCTGGATATAGTAAGTAGGGTTTTTTGGTATTTGTTTTTTTGGTAACTGCTGTTTTTGTCCTTACTACACTTGGATGCCTGTGGATTATGTCATTCTAAATTTCATGTGCAATGGCTTCTAAGTACCAGCAATGCTACACAGAATTGAAATTTTTATTTGATTAATTAATGTCATTGATTTAGTCGTAGGTTCCAATATTTATTGGGACCTGTTACTTATTCAATGGTTGTAATTCATTAAATCAATAAATAATATCAATTTTATTTAAGTATAAATAGCATTTCTCTATAAGTATTGTCCCACATTTGTAATTAATTTTGGTATTTAATTTGAGAACTTAATCAATAAATAATTGTTGAATTAAAATTGGATTCCATTCAATATTAGAACTCACAAATAATCTATTGTCCGCAATAAATTAACTCCATAGATTAGATCCCTAAATTAAGTCCCCTAAGGTATATCGATCATACAAATAAATCTGGTCCACTTTGGCCACCTTTTCCTAGGATTATAAGAACGTAAGCTAGACCAAGGATCAAAATATCGTTTCAGTGTATTGTTTTGGTCACTTAGAAAACAGAGACGTTTCGACGTGTTTCGGAAACGTTACAACCCATTTCGGAAATATAATGAAAAAAATAAAAAATTTAAGAATTATTTTTCTAAAACATTGAAAGAAGTATATCAAAGTATTTTGAAATATCTTGAAACATTCTAAAATAATTGTGCAAATGTATTGAAATATTATAATACATTTAAAAACATTATGGAATACCTCAAATATCAGAATTTCGATTTCATCACTATTTCGTTTCGGTCTTCTTGGAAACGGAAACGTTTCGGACGTTTCGATAGTTTGAAAACGATATTTTGATCCTTGGGTTAGACAAATGATCAAGATAGTTCACATGATGATGTTTCGGTTTGTTAATATCTCAAAGTTGCAAATTCAAGTCTCACAAGAGATGTTCTTATTGTTCTAATACCCGTGGTATACGATTGATGGATGCATTTTCTAGTACTAATGACGTGCCCGCGTGTGAAGCAGACTAGTTAAGACACATTTTTGTGACATATAAATTTTTTTAGACTTATATAAATACATTTTGATAGGATACCCCAAACAAGTTATAAGAGCGAGCTCAGGAAACGAGGTCAGGTCAGGTAGGATACGAGGAGCTCAGAAGTCAAAAGCTAGAGCTCCCCTTGGGAAAATGGTAGCGAAAATGACCAGGGAACAACTAGATGACTGCGAAAATTGAGTTCAAAGCATGAAACTCTCAACCAACCAAGATTCTCTCCTAAAATCAAGGAGAATCCCACTAATGACAAGTGAAGATCTCAGCTGAGATCCTACAGAACAGGGAATAGTTCTATAAATACTATGTAATGCCTCCATAGAGAGGCATGAGGAGAAAAAAATCCTAATTTTGAGATATATCGTATTGTAATACATTTGAGTAAGGAATAGAGGAGAGGGAGCAAGAGCCTCCATTAAAGAGTGGATTAGTCGAGCTTCTGGGCCCGTGAACCACTATATTTTCACTGTATGCACCCCTTTAATCCCCTCAGTATTTCGCAGCAACATCACATATGAGCCTTGTAGCTCTGATCCACGTTCATCACACGTCACCTGCACTTTTTGCTCATCCATGTTGATTTACACCATTAGTTTGGTGCCATCTATGAGAACGAATGTTCCTGTTACAAGTACACTGATCTTTCAGTAATTGATAGTTTCCACGCGTAATATGAGCAGAAGCCAGACGAATCTCCCAAGGATGCAGAATCAGCAAGAAAATCTTCATGACTTCATGCCTACGGCCGAGGATAATCCCCATGTAGCAGATCCTCCAACAAACAATGAATTGGATACCCTCCGTCAGGTTAACCAGCGCTTACTCCGACAGAATGAAGACCTCCTAAAGCTTTTACAAGGTCCTCAGCAAACACAATCGGCCCAACAAGGCCAAAACGATCCCCCCCCCCGGCAGGGGGCAGCAACACCTCAACCCTCTCAGAGAAGCAGAAGAAGGAGGTGAAAATAGTCAGGCTCCTCATCCACCCCCAAGGTTGGTGACAATGAAGAGGTGCAGAGTTAAGATAATGGGATTGAGAAAATGATTTTCTCCCTTTTCAATAGGAAAGAATGGACAATATTGGGAGCAACGCTTTAAGGACATCCAACAAGAGCTCAACCCCATGAAGGAAGCAGTGAGGGGTAAGACTCCAGTAACAATGGATGCATTGGTGCAACAAATCGAATCCTCATTCATTGTTGGGATGTTGCACTTTTTCCTCCCTCCTAAATTCAGAATGCCTCAGATAGAAGCTTTTGATGGGACAAAAGATCCAGTAGACCACCTTAACACCTATAAAAACCAGATAGAGTTGCATGGATACCAAGATCCAATGCGATGTAGGGTCTTTGCCATCACTTTGAAGGGCTCTGCCTTAGCGTCGTTCAATAGACTCCCCCCAACCTCGATTTCCTCCTTTAAAGATCTCTCTATCTCCTTTGTATCCCATTTCATTAGAGCTCAGATCTATAGGAAGTCAAGCTACCATTTATTGAATGTGAAGTAAGGACCTAACGAGAACCTTCGATCCTATGTCCAGAGGTTCAACTCAGAGTCTCTGAAGGTAGACATCCCAAATGAGAAGTTTGCCATCACCGCTTTCATTGCAGGACTTGGAGTGTAATCAAAGGACCTGGTGTTCTCTATCTCAAAGAATCCTCGTATGGCAGAGGTGTTGACCAAAGCAGAAAAGTATATAAACGGTGAGGAAGCGATCCTGTCTAAGGTGGGGGGCTCTTCATCACGAAAAGAGAAAGGAAATGAAGAAAATAAGAAGGATCGAAGTCTTAGAAAAGAAAGAGAACGAGACAGGTCTCCAAGAAGAGACAGGGACCACTCCCCGAAGAGAAAAGGAAACATTAGGGATCGCTTAGGCCCTCCACAGCTAGAACTACAACTGAGGCATGCACCTCGACAGTTCACCCCTCTAACTGCCACGGTGTCTCAAATCCTCTATGAGGTACAGAATGAGAAGTTCTTAAGATGGTCATTCCGGATGAAGGCAGATCCAGCAAAGAGGGACCCCACAAAGTATTGTGACTACCATAGAGACCATGGCCATCACACCGACAATTGCATACAATTAAAAAAGGAAATAGAGTTCCTAATCCAGCGGGGGCAGTTACGTCGCTTTGTGGCCAATGATAATCAAAACTGAGCTCTCTCATCTCCGCCACCTCAGCAGCAAGCACCAAAACTACATTAGTAGCCTATGGGCACTAAGGTTTGGGTTCAAGACCTCAAACAACAAAGCCGAGTATGAGACAGTTATAACAGGGCTCAACTTAGCATATTCGATGGAAGCAAAGTAGCTTGAAATCTATAGTAATTCGCAGCTTGTGGTAAAACAGATAGAAGGAGCTTATAAGGCTAAGGGTGAGAAGATGACCCTTTATCTTAAAAAGGTGCAAGACTTGATCAAAAAATTTTGTGCAAGTGAAGATCATGCATGTCCCCAGAGCTGAAAACTCGCGAACAGATGTCTTGGCAAGGTTGGCAACAACCTCGCAAGAAAATTTGGACAAGTGAATTCCAGTAGAGCATTTAGCAAAGCCGTCAGTATGCATTGAAAATGAAGAGGTGCTGCCCGTACAAGCACCACCGAATTGGATGGACCCCATCATGGAGTATCTTCAGAATGGAACTCTGTCAGGAGATCCCAAAGAAGCCGCAAAGTTAAAAACTAGGTCAGCCAAATTTTCTATTTTGCAGGAAAATTTGTATAAACAAGGATTTTCGATGCCTCTACTCAAGTGCATAGGAGATGAAGATGCTAATTATGTACTAAGGGAAGTCCACCAGGGGATTTGCGGCAATCATATTGGAGTCAGATCTCTGGTAAGGAAAGCTCTAAGGTAAGGGTACTACTGGCCCACTATGCTAAAGGATGGCTCTGATCTGGTTAAAAAGTGTAAAATATGTCAGATACACGCCAACATCTCTCATTGCCTGCCAGAGCTCCTAACTTCAGTTGTAAGCCCGTGGCCCTTCCTACAATGGGGTTTAGACATTCTTGGCCCTCCTCCCACCAGCACGGGGCAGTGTAGGTTCGCCATAATTGAAGTGGATTATTTCACTAAATGGGTAGAGGTGGAGCTCCTAGCAACGATCACAGAGCAAAAAATTCAAATTTTCACTTGAAAGTCTATAGTCTGTAGATTTAGGGTACCTAGGGCGATTGTTTTTGACAATGGGTAGCAGTTTGATAACTTCAAGTTCATAAAGTTTTGTGCAGAGCTAGGGATCAAAAACTACTTCTCAGCTCTGGCCCATCCACAATCCAATGGACAAGCAGAGGTGACTATCAGGACAATTAAGGCAGCCTTGCAAACCAAGCTTGAGTCATTAAAGGGTAAATGGGTATAATATGTTCCAGAGGTGCTATGAGCCAACAGAACAACCCCCAGGACAGCAACTCGGGAAACACCATTCACATTGGCCTTTGGAATCGAAGCAGTTTCACCTGTGGAGATAAGACTCCTATCTCTCCAAACTGAGCTCACGAAGCCTGAGCACAATGGTGAATCCCTCCTGCTGAATCTTGATCTCTTAGATGAAAAAAGAGAAAAAGCTTTACAACGCACCCGAAGTTACCAAAGAAAGACCGTGAGGTATTATGACAGGAAGGTTAGACACAGGAGCTTTAAGGTTGGAGATCTGGTGCTTAGAAAACTTTTACTCGCAAGAAAGGATCCTTCACATGGTAAATTGGGGCCTAATTGAGAGGGCCCCTACACCGTTTCAAGAATAGTTAGGCCGGGGAACTATGAGTTACAAATAGAGGAAGGAAAAATCCTATCTCATTCTTGGAATACAGAGCATCTTAAGAAATATTTCCAGTGATTTTCCCTGTA